GATCAGGAACTGTTATCCCGCCATGGGAAGAATGATATATATGAGCACACAATATAATTGTGTTGCCCAATCCACTCTAACATTCTCCATATGTCTGAAAAAACTATGGGGTCGTTTGGAAGTTGTGATTGTTAAATAGATGTATTGTTGAGAATGCATGTATAATATTATACATATATTGTCGAATTTGATCCATTGTAGAATACAACGTTTGGTATGTGTGATTGTGTATGTCGCATCAGCTAAAAGCTGAGACAAAACAATCTCAACTCAACTATCTCAACAATCACAACTAAAAGTTGAGATATAACAATCACTCAAAATGAGTGATAGTTTCTGTCACATCACAGAAACAATCCATGTATTGTTTCTGCTAAAAAAACAAAAAAACGATGCATTGTAAACAATACATGCATAAGGACAATCTCAACAAAACTATCGCAACTTCCAAACGACCCCTATATTATGAAAAAACGATGGTAGAAGTGAAAGCACTACCGGTAGAAATTCGAGTGGCAAGTGAGCAAATTAAGATTTTCATGCCTATAGCCCTACCTCCTTGGAATCGTTTAGATGACCATCCTATCGAGTCTCTAATTAGAGGGCAGTGGGGAAGATTATGATGAGTGTGCTTCGAGTTGAGTATTGAGAGACGGCGCCTGAGCTTTTCGTCCTGGGCAAGTCCACCATTGATGGAGCTCATTGTATGTTTTTATTACGTGCTTTCCTCGTATATCAGTCTTTGATCAAACAAACAAACAAAAACTCTATTTTTCGCGTTTCATACTTCTAGCCGAATCTTTCAAAGACAACAAGGCAACTAAATATACTCGTGTTTTGGGATGAAGGGCAAACCCCAAATAAGCCCCTACCATCAAGGAATCTTAGGCATTCCGCGTCTTGAAACGAGATGCAAATAGTTAAAAATTCAAATTTTTTTTTAAAAGGAGAGTCGTCCCAATTACATGATACACTAGTATGAGACTACCAATGTTCTGACTGTTGACAGCAGAGAAGAAGATTGGCGCCAAGTGAAAGCAGTTCAAATAAAGGGGTCAGTGTTAAGTTGAGTGATGTCGTTTTGGTTAATTACTAGATGGTCACTTAAGTCTGTCTTGTGTCTGTGTCGAGTCAAGTAGTGGATTAGTGGGTTAGTGAGTCAGAAACTTGGGGATTAAGGTTGTTAGGTTGTTAGCTGGGTTTAAGGGTCATGGGGCAAGATCATGAGCTGTGGATTAGCGAGATTCCTGGCTGTGATCTGTGTATATATTGTTACCCTTTCCAGTATTAATAAAATCGTCAGTTTGCCCCAAAGTTTGCTATCATTGTGGTATCAGAGCAACGGCTTACTGTAACCAAGCTTTCAAGAGTGAGTTAATTACAGCAACTGAGTGTTTATCTGGGTTTGGGAAACACGAGAGGTATATTGTGAGGTGATTATCAGGGGTGAGTGAAACAGATAAGAATCTGTGTGAGTATTGAGATTTGAGTGAAACAGCAAAATGAGTGAGAATTCTGGGTTTGCTCAGGTATGCATACCTCGATTTGATGGAGACTATGACCACTGGAGTCTAGTCATGGAGAACCTGCTGAGGTCCAAAGAATTCTGGGATGTTGTTTCCACAGGAGTACCAGAACATTCTGCAGATACAAGACTGTCAGCTGAGCAAAGCAAGGAGCTTCATGATTTACAGCTTAAGGATCTCAAGGCAAAGAACTATCTCTTTAGTTCTATTGACAAGACAATCCTTAAGACTATAACTCAGAAGGCTACTGCTAAAGAGCTGTGGGATTCCATGAAAATGAAATTCCAAGGCAGTGAAAGGGTGAAGAGGGCTCAACTGCAGACCTTAAGGAGAAGCTTTGAAGTTCTGGAAATGAAGACTGGAGAAGGTGTGAATGATTACATTGGTAGAGTCATGGTGGTGGCCAATGGCATGAGGAACTGTGGAGAAGAAGTGACAGATGTCAAGATTGTAGAGAAAATTCTGAGAACATTGACTGAAAGGTTCAACTACATCGTTTGTTCAATTGAAGAATCAAAAGACATAGACACCCTTTCAGTTGATGCTCTTCAGAGTTCTTTGCTAGTTCATGAGCAGAAGTTCATAAAGAAGGAAGAGTCAGAAGATCAAGCTCTGAAGGTCAGTCATGAGTTTGGAGGAAGAGGTGGAAGAGGCTTTCCAGGTAGGGGAGGCTTTCGAGGAAGAGGAAGAGGCAGAGGAGGTAGATCCTGGAACAAAGATACAGTGGAGTGCTTCTACTGTCACAGGCTGGGACATTTCAAGTATGAATGTCCTGAGCTCTATGGACAGCAGGCACACTTCACCAATGCTGCAGGTCAGGGAACTCAACAGCCTGACATGAAGGAAGAGATGCTCCTGATGGCCTACACAGAAGAAGGAGCACAACAGGAGACAGTTGAGAAGGAATTGGAGGCACAAGTAGGGCTGATGGAGGCACCTGACCATGCTTATGAAGGCTGGTGGTTCCTGGATTCAGGCTGCAGCAATCATATGACAGGAGATAAAAGGTGGTTTACAAACCTTGACACTTCCTTTACTTGCACAGTAAAACTTGGCAACAATACTAGGCTTGCTGTAAAAGGAAAGGGGAGTGTCAGGTTGAATATGGAGAGCCTGTCTCTACTGGTGCAGGATGTGTTTTATGTGCCAGGGCTGAAGTCTAACCTGATCAGTATAGGACAGCTACAAGAAAAGAATCTGGCTTTTCTAATTCAAGACAGTGTTTGCAAGATTTTTCATGCGGAAAGGGGACTGGTGTTGCAGACAAACATGAAAACCAACAGGCTGTTTGTTCTACACTGCCATATGGATCAGGTTGAAGGAAATCAGTGTCTCAAAGTAACTGTTGCTGCTGAGGAAGCTTTGAATCTCTGGCATAGAAGGTTTGGTCATCTGAATCATCAAGGTTTGCTGGGGTTGCACAGAGGAGGAGCTGTGAGAGGTTTGCCTATGCTGGCTGGCAAACCAAGTGTTTGCTCTACTTGTCTGATAGGCAAGCAACATAGAGCATCATTTCCAAAGAAAAGCAACTGGCATGCTACACAAAAATTGCAGCTCATTCATGCTGATCTCTGTGGCCCCATCACTCCTGTTTCAAGCAGTGGAAAGAGGTATATCTTTACTCTAATTGATGATTTCAGCAGAAAATTATGGGTTCATTTCATAGCAGCAAAGTCAGAAAGCTTTGATATATTCAAAATCTTCAAAGCTCATGTTGAAAAGGAAGGAGACACAACCATCAAGTGTCTTAGAACAGACAGAGGTGGGGAGTTCATGTCAAATGAATTCAAAGCATTCAGTGATGAGAAGGGGATTAGGAGACAACTCACCGCAGCACTGACTCCTCAGCAGAATGGAGTGGCAGAGAGGAAGAATAGGACCATTCTCAACATGGTTCGATGTATGCTAGAAGATACTAAGGTCCCTGCAAGATTCTGGCCTGAGGCAGTTAGCTGGACTACTCATATTCTTAACAGAAGTCCTGCAGCTGCTAACAAGGGAAAAACTCCACAAGAATTATGGTATGGAACTCCACCCTCAGTAGAACATTTTAAGATCTTTGGATGTGCTGCATATGTTCATACTCCTGATCAATACAGAAAGAAGCTTGATGATAAGAGCACTAGGTGCATTTTCTTTGGAGTTTCTACTGAGTCCAAAGCATACAGGTTATATAATCCTGTCACTAGAAAGATCATTGTTAGTAGGGATGTGGTGTTTGATGAACAGCAGGCTGGTTGGATTTGGGATGCTGAGATCACTCCAGTACTCACTCGAATTCAGTGGGAAGGAAGTGAGGAGGAACTGGAAGAATCAGATCATGAAGAAGAACCAGAAGTTGTTGGTTCAGAAGATTCAGAACCATCAAGTCCAATTGCAACTAGTACAGGTGCAAATGAGGCTTCAGGTTCATCATCAGCCAGTTCACACTCCAGTTCATCTTCTACTGATGGAGAAGAAGGGCCAGCTGATGCTTTGGGGCTACCTCCTAGAGTCTCAAAGCTTCCAGCTCGTTTTGATGACTATGAGATGGGGTGTGTGCAACTTGACTGGGAAGCCTTGATGGCTCTGACTGATGATCCAAAGAGCTTTGAAGAAGCTGTGAAGGATGAAAGATGGAGGGAGGCAATGAAGCAGGAAATACAATCCATAGTGAAGAATGAAACATGGGTGCTGGTAACTCTACCTCCAGGCATCACTCCAATAGGAGTCAAATGGGTGTTCAGGACAAAACTGAATGAACATGGTGAGGTAGACAAGTTCAAAGCCAGGCTGGTGGCTAAGGGGTATGCACAGCAGTATGGCATAGACTACACTGAAGTCTTTGCTCCAGTTGCAGGGTGGGATACCATAAGGACCTTCTTGGCTCTATCTGCTGCTCATGACTTAACAGTCTATCAGTTAGATGTCAAGAGTGCATTCCTACATGGTGATCTAGCAGAGGATGTGTATGTGACTCAACCTGAGGGATTTCTGGTTCCAGGGGAGGAAGAAAAGGTGTACAAGTTAAATAAAGCGCTCTATGGCCTCAAGCAGGCACCAAGGGCATGGTACAGTCGCATAGAAGCCTACTTTGAGAAGTCTGGTTTCCAGAGATGCACCTATGAGCACACACTGTTCATCAAAAGGGAAGGGTCAGGTCTGTTGCTGGTGAGCTTGTATGTTGATGATGTTATGTATGCTAGCAATTCTGATTCTATGATTGCTGACTTCAAAGCCTCGATGCAACATGAATTTGAGATGTCTGACTTGGGAAAAATGAGATACTTTCTTGGTGTTGAGATTCAACAGCTAGCAGAAGGAATTTTTGTGTCTCAACAGAAATATGCCAAGGAAGTTCTGCAAAGGTTCAAGCTGCTGGAATGTAATCCAGTCAAGAATCCTATGACAACTGGAACCAAGCTGACTAAAGAAGGGGATGGTGTTCCAGTCAATGCAACTCACTACAAGCAGCTTATTGGGAGTCTTCTGTACATGACAGCTACAAGGCCTGACATAATGTTTAGTGTGTGTCTCTTGAGCAGGTATATGGAGTCTCCAACAAGACAGCATATGCTTGCAGCTAAGAGGATCCTAAGATATCTTAAAGGAACTCTAAGCTATGGAATCTGGTACGAGAAAGGAGGTGAAGGAAGCTGTCTAGTAGGATACACTGACAGTGATTATGCAGGTGATTTAAATGACAGGAAAAGCACAAGTGGATATGTTTTCTTCCTAGCAGGAGGAGCAGTGTCTTGGGCTTCAAAGAAACAGCCTGTGGTCACTCTGTCTACAACAGAGGCTGAGTTTGTGGCTGCTGCTGGATGTGCTGCGCAATGTGTTTGGTCAAGAAGAATTTTGGATCAAATGGGCTGGAAAAAGAGTGTCAACCAACCAACCAGGATTTTCTGTGACAACAATTCTGCAATCAAACTCTCAAAGAATCCAGTGTTACATGGCAGGAGCAAACACATTGATGTTAGATTCCATTTTCTGAGGGATCTAGTGAAGGATGAAGCTGTGGAATTGGTGTACTGTGGGACTGGTGAACAGGTGGCCGATATTATGACCAAGGTTGTGAAGGGAGAAACCTTTGAATATCTTCGTGATCAGCTAGGAGTGAAGAAGCTATCTGACATTGAGGATCTGAAAGTGAACTGAAGCTGAAGCTGTCAGTCTTCAGTTCAAGGGGAGGAAATGTTGACAGCAGAGAAGAAGATTGGCGCCAAGTGAAAGCAGTTCAAATAAAGGGGTCAGTGTTAAGTTGAGTGATGTCGTTTTGGTTAATTACTAGATGGTCACTTAAGTCTGTCTTGTGTCTGTGTCGAGTCAAGTAGTGGATTAGTGGGTTAGTGAGTCAGAAACTTGGGGATTAAGGTTGTTAGGTTGTTAGCTGGGTTTAAGGGTCATGGGGCAAGATCATGAGCTGTGGATTAGCGAGATTCCTGGCTGTGATCTGTGTATATATTGTTACCCTTTCCAGTATTAATAAAATCGTCAGTTTGCCCCAAAGTTTGCTATCACTGACAACAAATAAGAGTATGTATATTCTTATTCTACTTCCATGCATGTGAACTCGTCAAAAGTAAATTAAGACAACATCACAACTTTTTCAGGCATCTCATTTTATTTTGTGTATGATCTTAAAGTATATTACACAATAACTTAGATATTTACTCACCATATTACTATATATAAAGCAGAAGCATAGTTACTGTTGCCTAACAACATTTGAAAAATTACAAATTAGTAACTATATTTACGTTTTATATTTTGATACCCCAATAACTACGTGTAACAAATATGCGACATCTACACAAGCAAGTGTCAATAAATTGCTACAATGAAAATAGTTTCAGTTTGTATTCACTTTGCTTCTCTCTAAAGTTTTTCTATTTTACCGAGCTAGAATTTTCAACAATTATACATGAAATGTTTGCCTAGGTATACACATATCAAATAAACAGTTTCCATTTTTCTATACAAAAGTAAATAATTATCATATAAATACATCACGATAAAAGAAATTAAGTCTCAACCGACAACTAAAACAACATAATGGTTGATTAGCCCGCGGCAAAGCGCGGTTCCATGCTAGTATACCCTTATTCTAAAAGTTTTTGATTTCTTGGATAATCAAACATTTATGTTTTTAAAATTTATTTTCACACCTTTTTATTTACTAATGAAATGAGGTCCTTATGAACTGCCGTTTTGGATGGCTTGTTCTCGAAGCAACCATTATAAACCCTCTACTAAACCCCGACTTATTAGCACTCTGTTAGACAGTTACTCTCTTCCAGTGAAGCCTCCATATCCAGGAAAAAGGAAACAGAGAGAGAGAGAGAGAGAGCCATTTCGATGGAATCGATTCAGGTCCAAGAAATGAGCGGAGGAGAACTCCTCAATCAAGAAATCCAGCAGATCCAGGAAACCAATGAAGCAGCAGAATCGATCGATTTAGCCGTCCTCCGCTTGAATTCCGACGACCACCATCACCACCACTCCCACTCCTCTCACTCCCCTTGCCAATCCTGCGGTTGCTCCGGCGGCCCCTCTTCCTCCAGAAACAACAAGCGCCGATCGTCGGACGCGGGATCTTTCTCCACCCCTCCTCTGCCCCCCGCCGCCGCCGGCATGGAGAACCCAGAGCGCGATTCCCGATTCCAGCTCGCCAAGAGGCCCAAGAAACTCTTCTCCGAATCTTCTCCCGAAACCCTCTCCGGCGTCGTCATTCCGCCGGGGTTCTCCAAGATCGCTCTCCCTCTCTCCGCCCAATCGATTTCTCCACCACCAGCGGGATCCCCCGCCCTCGTCGCCGCCGTCTCTCCCAATCTCCGCTGCGGTTCTTCTCAAAATCTAATTCCTCAATCGCCGGCCACCAGCAACGTCGTCCCAAACGATTCGCCCACGCCGTCTTCCAAGGCACCGGGATCCGCTTCCCGCCCTCCCCTGCCGCCGTTGAGGAGATCGTGGTCGCTACCGTCGCCTGATAAACCGGCTCCTTCAACTTCCAGCGACGCCGTTTCAGGCAATCCCCCGCACCATGAAGAGGTCAGGCAAAGAAATTATCCTTCTATCCTGAGTTCTTGTTAATCCCATTTCTCGATTCTTGAATTGGGTTATGCCATTATTAGTCGTTTCTTTGCTGGGAAAATCAGTTATTCCCTGTGAATTGGGAATAGATGAACTTAAAACCAGTGTTATGTATGGAATGCTAGAAGCTGAAGGCAGTGGGGAATTGGATCAAGGAGGTAGCTAAGTGGTGGGATGAATTTCACACTGTTGATGAGATGCCAGTAGTAGTCGACCAGGCAGAGAAGAAGGTCCCCGATGATGATGATAATGCCTCTAATGCAGTTAAGGTATACTGCTTAAGTTAGTTTCATTGTTGAATTGATTGAGTTGATTGTGTTCAGGGAATTGCATCTTGGGTTAAGTGGTAGACGATGAATGTGGTGGGATTGTTTTTTTCTGGTTCATTGCAGGATGACAAAGAGTCTGCAGGTTGTGAAGAGTCAGTGAATGTGGAGAGAACAGGTGAATGCTTGATCATAAACTTCAAGTGTCCATGCAAGAAAGGGTATCAGATTCTTCTCTCTGGAACCAGCTGTTACTACAAGCTCATGTAGATGATCCAGTGCTGATCTCCAAGATGCTGATGCCCAAATTTACAGTAACAGGCACTTCATGTATAGAGTGCTGTAACTCATTCTTTAGGTTTTGTTACCTTGTTCATAGAATCTCTTTTCTGAAGAAACTATGCCACCTGAGAAGAAGGGTATGGGTTTCTGATTGTCTTTTTCGAAGGGAGGGTTTTCCTTGTATAGACAGATGAGGCAGATTCTTCGAGCAGCTAGCTCAAAGGATGCTTTACTTACCCCCATGTCAGCTCGTTGCTGTTGTTGATAATGAATAAAACTTGACTGCTATTTTTGAGGAATGTTGATACACTCTACTGGTTTCGTTCTACTATTCGCATGGATGATGTGCCTGCAATTTGGCGCGAAAGGACTGATCTTTACTTGTAATGATCCTCTCCACATTTCTAATTGGTTAAAATCTGGAAAGTTTGGTATGTGAATTCTGAGTACGAGGAGTTTCTTCATTCGCTGCCCAGCACTTGAGAACTCTGCTTATTCTGATGTTTCAGTTGCAGTGCTGGCCTGCTGGGGGCTAATTACTTGAAGTTCAAGTTTCCATGCCCAAAAGCGATTAACTTGGGACTCTTGGGCTATGACTAAGGTCGGGTTCTTAATTTTTACCTGAAAACTGAAAAGGGTTGAAAATTTCATAAGCAGGTCAACCGTTGACTACAAACAAGTCAATTGTTGAGAATGGGTCGAGAATTGGTTCACCTTAGGCCTAGTTAATCGATTAGCTACTGGACCCGCTCCCGCTCCATTTAAGAAAGCAATTAGCTTTACACTAGCCCAGCCCAAAAACGGCCCAGGCAAGGCTGCCGCCATCGTCAGTTCGTCACCGATTCAACACACTGCGACACTGCGTTTATTCCAGATCTTCGAACAATCGCGGTGGAGTTTTAGTCCAGCTGATTCCAGAAGTTGCATCACCGCAAAATGCCTTCAGGCGATTCAAATCGGCAAGATGGAGACGCCGGATATACAACACCGCTGGCCGGGCGGCGATCACCTTCTCCTTCGTTCTCCGAAAATTGGAAGGAGCGTATATTAATCCCCACAGTTCTGGCAGGTTGTTTTTTATTTATTGTCATTTTCTCACCTTCACCTTCTCCTCCTTTACTTGACTCTTTGTTCGAAATCGGTGTAATTGAAGGGCCCTTTTGGGTTTTGATCGGCAGGAGCTGGTGGCGGAGGATTCGGGTTGGTATCTAAGCAACGGACAGTGCAAGGGTTCCCTCACGTTTCTGCTGCTTACGCTGCTAATTTCGCCATCGTCACTGGTTGCTACTGCGGTAAAGATCTTCCCCTTCCTATTCTGGAATTTCCATTCCTGTTGTGCTTGTATTGTAGCACCTCTATGAAAATGAAACGAACTTCCACCATTGATGGTTAGTGCCAGGGTTTGATTTTGGAGGCTTACTTGCTTTAGCTGGGGATACTTCTTGATTTACTGTTACCATTTTGTTGGCGACTCCCCCTCCATCTTGAAACATTTGCATGATTGATGCTTACATGTCGGGAAGGATTTCTCTTTCTCCTGGAATTGGTTGAATTCATTCTCCTGTTCTGCATTTCGTTGGATAAAAAAGCTGCATCAGCCAAGTATGCTTGGCAGCTCGCACAATTTGGTTTTGTGGGGGAATGCCAATGATATTTCGAGGACCGCTAGAGTGATATGTGATGTAAGTACCGAGTTGAATGATATCCTTCAGAAACTTGTAGGAATTTACTATTTTCATGTCCACTCACATCTAGAAGAAAGCAGGTAAATTAGACTTCTAATTAGATTTTCCATTAGACTGGATGAGTGGCGCCAGCCAGGAGGCCCAGGACCATTTCGAGTTGAAGACATGTAATAGTGAGAGTACAGACTATGTTGAGAGGAGGATATTGATAACTGTAATAAGCTATAAGTGGTGCTCTGGATGTATGATTTGTGATCAAAACTCGAATTTGTCCACCATACGTTTTGTTGAAGGACCAACAAGTTATGTAGACAATTCATGATCTAACTGGAATGCAACGGCTTATCTACAGGTGCAAGGGAGTTCGTAAGAGTAACACGTAAATCAGACCCTGATGATCTGCTGAACTCTGCCATTGCTGGTTTCAGTACTGGTGCTCTTCTTGGACGTTTTCAAGGTAAACTCTATCACCTCAATTTGACTCTCTCTTATCTGTCTCTGGAAATCTGAAGTGCTTCTGTTTTCTGAGTTGCAGCTGGCCAACTCGGCGCTATTCGCTACTCTTTCATCTTCGCTGTCGCGGGGACCTCAGTTGATTTCGCTACCATAAAACTCAGACCGAAACTAAAGAGTCTAAAAGAATCCATATTTGGCAGCGAGGAAAACAAAGACGGTGGGTGGAAGTTACCTGAGTGGTTTCCCATACAAGTGCTCGACGAGGAAGCCCTGGCTAAGAAAGAAGCTAGAGAGAAACAACTTCACGCACAAAGAGCAGCTCTTGCAAAACTAACGAAAGGAGAGTCTTAAAAAAGCAAGAACCCTTTTTCGTAATTTTGTCGGAGTCCCAGTTGTTTACTTGTTTTAGCTGTCTGGCTTTCACTGCAACTGTAACTCAGCAAGCTGTGAGTTCTCTTATTGTACAAAAGAAGTTGCAAGCCATAATAGATTATTCGACTTCACTATACTGGCATACGATACTTCCAGCAAGAGTGGAATGTATCGAGTTTTTTGCTGGGCTCGTGGTTCGACTTCTGTGATGGATTCACAAGTATCTAGTGTGTTACTAAAGGTAAATTCGAGACATGGAGTAGTTTGGATTCCGATATAGATAAAGTCAAGTCACTATCAGGAGTAAGTTTTTGTTCTGATATAGATCAAGCTTATTACAGGTTTATTGTTATTCGCAAGTTCTTACCGTAGATTAGGCGATTTCTCGAAACAGTTTTTTCGTATGAGTTTACAGCTGCCATCACCGTGCTATCTGCCAACCACCAGAATTTGGGGCTATTCATCTCCAAACGCAAAGTCTGAAACAAAATCAGCATTGCAAGCTCCACGCAATAAGTTGAGTCTTTGAGTGTCGTTTGGGGTAGATACAGAGTTTGGGGCAGGTTAGAAGGAGGGAACGATTAAACTGATAGGGATGCCAAAGACTTCTATCACTACCCGCTAAACTACAACAAGAAGAACCCTAGTTTACAACTACATCTTCACACAAAAGCATGCTCTAATTAATCTCCATCCCAGGTAAGGCTCTAAATGGCCCTACCTATGAGAGCAGTGAAACTAAGGAGACGAACTCCAAGGTGACTCGGCCTTTGGACCTTGTGTTTATGACAAAATGCTCGGGGTATCTTCTCAGCAACATGAGCAAGCCGTACCATGGTTTCTCTTTGGCTTCGGGGCTCTTCCACTCCTCAGATGTTAGATATCTTCTCACTCGACTGTGATGCCACACGCTGCTAAACTGTTCCAACAGCTGAAACACGGGTAGAAAATTGTACGAGGTTATTTGATAAGCTTCTGAGGATCTTGCTCAACAACATACTTATTCATTGCAGGCTAAGCATCTCTAATCAATGACGGGTAGAATCAAAGGTAGCAGAGCACTATTATGGAGAACAAGAATCCCTTTCTTTCATTATGCAAGATGATAGAACAAATCCAAACGGAATTGATTCTGAGTAAGGATATTTTTTATGTGTCAAATGCATTTTCCTATCAAATCAGAATCTTTTTGAGTGGATTGATGAGACGACCGTGTCTGGAGGACCTGGGAACTTAAAGAAAGGGGTGTGCCAACAACAGAAAAACGCAAATGAAAGAAAAAATGTACACATCCATGTAATCATAGGAAGATTTCTACTGCAGAATCGATAACTAACCTCCGCATGGAGTTTCTCCATAGGCATCCATTCTCCAGGCCCACATAGATCAGATAGCACGGTGGCTACGGATGACACCACATCCTTTTCCTCTAACTGTTTGAGTTGTTGATCATCTGCATCACGGTCAGCTCTAGACCTTCCATCTGCCTTATTCTCTGCAGGAGCAGAATATAGAGCCATGACAATTCCAACAAACAGACAGCAAAACAAACATAGATCAAGGAGGGATTACATATGACTTATGAGACAAGACATTTTACCATACAAAGATATAAAAAATAGAAACCTAGTTTTCAAGTTGAGAAAAAGTATGAACCCATGTTCGTCAACAAGTAAACTATAGCTGACTTCAAGCATGCTTATAGTTTACGGCTTCAAGCAATGAATCCACCTTCTATCCACAAAATGAAGTCCCTACTAACTCTAATCATCAATGACTTGATCTCAGCAACTCAACTGGATTTGTTGGAAACAAGCTCACTAATTTGGGGATGTCAGTAGATGCACCCACCATACATGGCAAATACAGCTTATAAGGAGAAAATGATGATATATAGACCAAAGTCCAAACCGTACAGCAATTTGCTGGATCCCCCTCTCATCCTTCTGAAAGAACACATCAACCTGATTGAAATCACTAAATTCGGTAGCATTCAAGTTTAATTGTCAACTAAACATAAACACAAACACAAATTCTCGAAATCGTTCAACTTTTTTTATATCAGCAAAAGGACCAGTTGCACAACGTAGAAGCCTTGCAATTTTATTTGAAAGAGAAGGTAATCTATTGAATCAATATTGTTGAGTGCCCACGAGGCACATTTCATTGAAAACAATAGCTCAAGCAAGGGTGTAGTTGTCTAGCAATTTGAAATGGCTCAAATAGGGGTAACTAAAAACAATCTCAGGTATAAACACATAGTGGAGGCTGTATTCCCATCTAAGAAATGGAATCATCAGTTGGACTAAAGTGATTCTGCGAGAGTTCAGGGTAAATATCAACACAATCCACATTAAGCCAGACAAAATGCTTCAGCCCCATATTGAGACATAATTGATATGGAAGCAGCATCATACTGCAAAAATATTAAGACCTCCAAGTTCCAAACTTGCAACTATCAAGGAACAGTTGCGAGAAATGACAAAGCTTTCACATTATCAAAACTATTTCAAACCAAACAATTCGATACTATGGAACTCGGATAACATCCTTACCCGATTGAGTTTTTAGACATGGCAGCAAACTCAATTAGCAGAAAACAATCCATTCAATACAACCATCGTTCTGAAACTTTTAACCCAAAGCGGCAAAGCTTACAACCATCAATATGCCAGACAGAGCTTGAAAATGTATAGCTGTTTTTCAGTTTTCCAGTAAATGTATATCTATACAAGAACAATTCCAGTTTGCCATTAAACATACTCTTACAATTGAAATGACTTGAAAAATGATAGCAGCAGGAGAATAGAAACGAGAGAACAAAAGTTTCACCTCTTCTACTGACCTAATGATCCATGAAACCCAACTTTACCATTGTACGAACCACCCGAACCGTATCCATACCCGTCGTACCCATCTCTCCTCATCTTCTTCCCACTGCTACTCCCCCCGCCGCCGCCGTTATTCTCCTCCTCCTCATCAACCTCCGCCACGTAATAGTCCTTCCGTCTCCCTTTCTTCCCGGCACCACAGCCAGCAGTCGGCAGCAAAGCCCTCTCCGCCCCATGATACCCGTACTGCGGCGGCGTAGGCACCACAGGCACGTGATGCCTCGGCCCTAACCCCCCGCCCAAAATGCTCCTCACCGGGAGCAGAAAGTAGAATTCCTTGTCCCCGATCTGCAGCAGATCCTGCGAATCGAGCTTCACGAGAGGGTTCCCTGGCAGGTGGAGGACGCCTTCCACCAAACATCCGTTTTTCCCCAGGACCTCGAGAGCGAATCGCCGGCGGGTGAAGTCGTAGAAGATCCGAGCGTGGTGGCGGGAGATGTTCATCCCGCCGCCGAGGCTCGTGAGATCGACGTCGACGGTCGATTTCTTGGAGTTCCGTCCCAACACGATCGAGTAGGTTTGCATATAGTACTCGAAATCCTCTCCCTGCAGCTTCGCGAATCCGGCTTCCACATCGCTGCCGCTCGCCGTCCCCATCGCAACCGCGAATTCCGAGATTCGTCGTCGGAGATGAAAAGAACACGCACGAAGTAGTTTTCTCGGCTAGACCAGAAAACCAACTGCTTGTTTGGGTATGGATTTTATACTATTCCACGTGGCATTCCTTATTCCTAAATTGCCCTTATGAACGAGCCGTCCAGACTCCAGGCTCCAGATAGAACTTCTAAAAAACGACACCGTTTCGTTTTCGATCGGACGCTGGATCTTTTGCCGTAAACCTCCTTGTCGCTGCGAAAAGTTCGTCTTCAGGATTCGGCAACTCAATCTTGCGCTTTTCGCCGGCACAAATTAGTACACCTCTAAACCCTAGGATCGCCGCTGGCGCCACCGTTGGGCGACTCCGTAGTCAATTGTGGGGTTAAGGGTTTTGATCTCCGGGGATTTGGATACTTTTTTTTTTAATAAAGTCATAATATTGAGGAACCAAAGTGGTTGCCAGATGATGATTTGGGGGATAATATTTGCGCAAGGGCTTTGAGTAGTTTCCGTGGCTGACAATGCCATGGCAGCGAATGAGAAACAAACCCCACCTAAATGTGTCTTCGTGATGGCAACATATGGTCGAACAAGTTGGCTTCCAGTTCTTCGGCTGTGCTTGGTTTCTGGTGCATTCTTCTGGGTCTTCGTTCTTTGAATTGTTTTCGCAACATTCTCAGCTGGCATGAGCTTCCAATGAGTACTGGTTATTAGGGTATAAGGGAGCATTTTTATTTCCAATGAAGCATAGATCCAAGATTATTGCATTGCTCGGAGCTCTGCCTTTTGGATTGCCCTCTTGCAGGCATCTGTTGTTTGATTTTGTGCCTTCCTATATTTGGGGTGGCGAGCCTCGTCTATATTAGCGGTTACATGGCACGCGTGTTAGTTTAATCTTGGTATTTTGAACATTTCGGTTTGTCGAACTGCCTCTTTTTGGCATCAGATCGCGCATAGAAGCTGATTTAAGTTACCAGCCTGCCATGTATACTTTGCTACTTGGTTCGTCTGAACAGACTTTATGCTTGAGAGGATCAAAACTTAGATATAGACCGAGGTACAGAAGCTTAATACGAAAAAAACGTGGATAAAACCAAACGGAGGTTGAAGACGAACGACATGGTGATTTACCCTTGTTGATTATACAGAAATACTTTGGCATGTAATGATTGATAGTTAAATGCTTATCTAGCCTTTTGATAGAACGTTCCTTGATACTCTCCACAACTGCCAAATATTATTGTCCTGTCATTGACCTGCTATTGGTTACTGATCGTAGTAGGGTTTATGCAATTTCCTGCTTGCTCTCGAGAAGCATTGTTGTTAAAGCTGGTGAGTTCCCTCTGACCTCTGTTCTTTCTTTCTTTCTTGCCTGCTGTTTTCTTTTTACTTTTTCCCCCAAGTTGTGTTGTTCAGATTTCTATTGAGTGAGAATGCGGGAAGTGTACCCTATAGGGTGGTGCTACGTTTTGCATGTGTGTCTAAAGATGCTAAAGCACCGGGACATCTTGGTGGTGTTTCTGGATACTTGCAAACTTTGCAATGCATTGTGGTTTGTGCTAGCAGGACATTGTTGAGGCAAAATAATTTTCTACAGCAAAAAGGGGGTTGATGTTGCTTCATATTGATGACTGTTCATGATGTGGAAAGGTAAGTTATTTTTGCTGCGAAAAGGATCTGAGTTGCATTGCAGGGGACGAATTTCAGTGAGTTTACTAACCTGCCCTTGGTGGTGCCATGGTGACGTTGAATATGCTTCTCGACTATTTAATTCACTTCCCCACCAGTTTGACATTGTAGACAACGTTCCTATCAACTTGGCACAACTAATGATCTCACCAGTTCACTGCACAACTGCACAAGGTGAAGGCTTGTTGATATCTGGCATACTTTATTTATTACTATTTAAATTTGGCTTTAATTGTTGCCGTTGTTATGATTACATCTAAAAAATTGAAGCAAAGCATTCACAAAAAGAAGGAAAGAAAAGGCACTACAAAAGGAGATGAAGTTCCCACTGGCCGAGATTCTTGTCTCTCTTTACATGTGCTTCTGGCATGGATTTTGGTCTTTGTTTAATTATCTAGGTCTCCCCTCTGTGTAGCATAAAAAGTAGTTTTCTCTTAAAATGACTAATATTTCTGATAACGAATAGGTTTTGCTTCGGTCTGTGTAAAAGATACAGCACATAGAAAGAAAGAGACAGAGGCAGGGACTAGTGGTGAGATCCTTAATTTTCCAGTGATGAGATCTTCTTCTATGCCAGACCCTCCTCTTACAACTGGAGAGTACGAGGTTTTTCTGAGCTTCAGAGGGCCAGATGTGCGCCAAACCTTTGCTGATTGTCTTTACCACTTTCTTATTCACTCCAAGATTCGAACTTTTAGAGACGAGGAAGAACTGCGCAAAGGGGAGGAGATAGCGCCTTCACTTGTCCAAGCTATCTCTGAGTCCAAAATCCTTATCCCAATCTTTTCGCAAAACTATGCTTCTAGCAAATGGTGCCTTCAAGAGCTGGCGAAGATGGTGGAGTGCTGGAAGAAGCAGGGAAAGGGCGGTGGCCGAACCACCATCCTCCCCATTTTCTACTTGGTCGATCCCAGAGATGTGCGCCATCAAGAAGGTGCTTACGAGGAAGCATTCCGACGCCACAGTCTGAAACAAGACCAACAAACTATAAAGCAATGGAAGGAAGCCCTCCTTGAAGTTGGCAAAATGAAAGGATGGCACGTGGCAGGATCAGATGGGTAATGTGTGCTTTTGTTTATTCTCCCCCATTCAATTTCCTTTCATTCTTCTTTATCATAACCTACTTTCTAATAATGTGAAAACTGTATCTGATTTGCAGACATGGAGCTATACTAGAGCAGATCTTTGTTAAAGTTGATTCACTTCTGAGAACTAATTACACATTGTTGACGGATGAATTGGTTGGAATCGATGTTCATGTAAACAAAGTGGTTCAGCTGTTGAATCTGGATGCTGCAAGTGAAATGATTGTGGGTATCCATGGTATGGGTGGCATTGGCAAGACCACCATAGCAAAGACAGTCTTCAATAAGGTTTGCACTCATTTCGATCGCTGTTGTTTTATCGAAGATGTTCGAGAAACGTTATTAAAGGCCGACGGTGTTGTAGTCTTACAAAATAAGATCATTTCTGGTGTTTTGAGGTATGATCATTGCAATGTAAACAATGCTAGCGAAGGAATCCACATGATGGTAGATAGAATTTGCAAACACAGAGTTCTCATTGTTCTAGATGATGTCGATGCCAAGTTTGAGTTCGACAAAATCTTCGGAAAGTTGGGAAATTTCTCCTCAAAAAGTAGATTTATTATTACAACAAGGGACAAAAGAGCTCTAGAGCTACTTCAAACAGATAAGTTGCACGAACCAGGAGGTATGAGTCATGATCACTCTCTTCAACTTTTTAGTAAACATGCTTTTAAGATGGATAATCCTCCAAATGAATATACAGCTTTAGCTGAGAAGTTTTTAAAGGTCGCAGCAGGGTTACCTTTGGCACTGAAGGTTGTAGGATCATTGTTGTTTCGGACTGACACAAATTTCTGGAGAGCAAAGTTGAAGGAGCTAAAAGAAGTACCCACAGTAGAGGTGCAACAGATTTTGAGGATTAGTTACAACGAGCTAACTCCCAATGAAAAACAGATATTTCTCGATATCGCATGTGTTTTCATAGGCGACTACAAAGAAGTGCCTTTTTATATGTGGAGTAGTTGTGATTTTAATCCAGAAATCGGGATGAGAACTCTGGTTAATAGGTCTTTGGTTAGAATCGATGAAGAGGGCCAATTTGGGATGCATGATCATCTTAGAGATCTTGGCAGAGCTATTGTTAACGAGGAAGATGTTCAGAATCCATGCAAGCGCAGCAGGATATGGTCCAATGAGAATGCATTGGACATGCTAGCAAATAGAGAGGTATTGTTTGTCCTATTTTTGTGACTTGTTTGTGTGCATGCATATTAGATAGATAAATGTTGAAGAAAACCTTTTCTTTTATAATTTTCAGCGAGTATGTAAATGTACAAACTGAATATATATATTCACTAGCTCAGGCTTGGCTTATTTATTCAGGAGAGTTGCTGATCCCACTCATGTACTCATTTCATTTCCATATGTTAGGGAGGTGATCAGGTGGAAGTCCTCAGAGTTGACATGAGAAAGAATGAAGCTCGTCATGAGTTCACAGAGAAGGAATTCAAAAATCTGTCTAGGTTAAGGTATCTTGAAGTGAGTTATGGCAGACTCTCTGGGGATTTCAAAGAAGTTCTTCCCAGTCTATGTTGCCTCCGACTACATAGCTGTGATTCAATTCCCACTGATCTTCACTTGAAGAAGTTGGTCATTCTTGATTTGAGCTTTTGTCCTATTAAAGAAGGCTGGAGAGGCTGGCAGGGAATCCAGGTTTTTAATTCGATTTTGTTTTGTGTTTCCCTTTTAAGTTTCCATTGCCCCTTAGGTTAATTCACTATGAACCCCATAATTGACACGGTTTAGGATACAACTTACAAGAACTGTCAGTTAGACTGTGCTCCTTGATTCACCTGCCATCATATATTTGGATGCAGAAGGCAAAGAAGCTGAAAGTTGTGATTCTACTGGAGTGCCACGAGATAAGGAGAGTTCCGGATTTGTCCCCTTGTACAAGCCTGGAGTTGATAAAGCTTCTAAGCTGTTATAAGATGAAGGGGGACTTGCACATTGCTGGTTTCAAGAACCTAAGAGTTCTGAGTCTCAGATCTACTCAAATAGCAAAGATAATAACAGGTGACATGGAAATGCTTGAAAATCTGCTGGAGTTTAGCGCGGAGGATGCTGGTTTGACAGAATGGCCTGCCAGTCTTTCCAGATTACCCTGTCTGGAAATCCTGAAAATGACATCATCATCATGCACAAAAAAGTTGAGCCTAAAGCAACTATCCTTGTCCTCCCCGAGGGAAGCACCCCTACTCCCCACAAGTCTAAAGCAACTATCCTTGTCCTCCCCAAGTGTTCCCAATCTTATGCAGCTTGTGGAGTTGGAGGAGCTTAAGTTTGAGTGGTGTGGTGAGGCAGGCCCTGAAATCCCTGCAGAGATATGGCGCCTCTCCAAATTGAGGACTCTGGAGATCTCGTCAGCCTCCCCTGTCTTCGTAACGATGGAGGGCTCCCTCCCATCATCCCTGACCAGCCTCCAGATTCATTTTTGTGTTGCTTTGGAGAAGCTCCCAGGCCTTGCGAACCTTACTAACTTGACAGAACTAAGACTTGTAAAGGTCGGGGTATCTGAGATTTGTGGGCTAGGCGAGCTCAGAGTGTTGACGACTCTGGAGGTACGTAATGCCCCGAGGCTAAGTAGCCTCGACGGCCTTGAAAATCTCGTGCTTCTCATGAAACTGACGGTGAGCAACTGTGGGGTCCTGCCAAAACTTCCCGACCTAGTGAAACTGATAAAGTTGCAGGCTTTAGAGATTCAGGAGTGTCAGCTTCTATTGGAAATGCAAGGGATGATGGCAATGAAGGAATCGTTATCCCATCTCGACATAGGTCGGTGTCCCAGCTTAGACTGTATCGAAGGCTTTGAGTCCCTGGCATCTTCGCTAGAGACACTGTCATGGTGGGAGCTGAAGATGCAACCACCTGATGCTATCTCAAAGTTCAGGCACCTGAGGCGTTTAGCCTTTGTCCAAGTTGGTAATCTGGTCACAACTCCTGATCTCTCTGGCCTCCTGAACCTCAAACGCTTGGAGATCCTGACGTGCAGACAGTTGATCCAGATTGTGGGGCTCGATGGGCTGGAATCGCTAGAGGTGCTCTTCATAAAAACTTGCAGCTCGATCAGGGAGTTGCCTAGCCTATCTAGGCTCAAGAATTTGCAGCGGTTACAGCTAACACTCTGCACGAAGTTGACCCACATCACCGGGTTTGAGGGGTTGCAATCTTTGCAAGAGCTATTTGTATATCATTGCTGGTCCATTGCGGAGTTGCCTGATCTGTCCAGCCTTCATGATCTGTGGGGGCTGTACATTTTTAGGTGCAACAAGTTGACAGAGGTCAAGGGGCTCCGGGGATTGGAGTCCTTGGGGAACCTATCCATTACAGATTGCCGGTCGATGAAGGACTTGGAAGATCTATCTAAGCTCAGTAATCTGAGGGAATTGAGGATTACAGGATGCAGAATGTTGACCGAGGTCAAGGGAGTTGAGCGATTGGTGTTGCTGCGAGTGCTGAAACTGGACCTCCGGTTTAGAGTCAGATCGTTACTGAAATCGGTTGCCAGATACGTGACTCGACTCATTACTCGCTTCCTGGGGCTCTTACTAATTTTAGTTCTCGTGCTTTTCATTTTCAACAGCCAGTGAATGTGAGCGGTTGAAGTTAAAACCAATGTCCGCTTAAGTGATGAATACTTATCAATTTGACAGAATTCCAATGAATGTGACCATTTCACTCTCGACTTCATTTATTATAACACTTAAGATTTTATTGACATTAATGAAATTGGAGCGCTTCTTGTTAGAGGTGGCAATTGGATCGGATTCGTGGATTGGATTGGTGGATCCATGGATCAAATGGATTGGATCCAATGGATTGGTGGATTCATGGATTGGATCCAATGGATTGGTGGATTGATCCATGAATCCAAATAACATCCAAGGCTTGGACCAAAATGTAAATTTTGAAAAGTTTAGGTACTAAAATGTCATAATGAAAAATTGTAGGTATCAAAATGTAATTTTTCAATGATTTTTTCGTATAAAAATATAAATTTTAGGTACCAAAATGTAAAATATAAAAATATAGGTACCAAATCGTAATTTGCCATTTGGATCCATGGATTGATCAATGAATCCACCAATCCAATTGGACTTGGATCAAATGGATTGGATTTAAATGGATTGGATTAAGTGGATAATTTGGTGGATGGATTAGATTGGATTCATGGATTTGGATCATAATTGCCACCTCTACTTCTTGTAGAGGAAAAAAGAAGTTTATCTTGTTGTTTCAAGTAACTCTGTCGTAGAGCCTGGGATGGACTCCGCCACAGGAGGGATGGGTGCAAATCAATATAGATGGATCGATTTTTGCATAAGATAAAGTTGCAGCAAGAGGACTAATCACAGATCAATGGGGCAGATGCTATGATGTTTTCTTCGTCAATCTGGGATCATGCTCCATCACTGGAGCAGAATTGAAAGCAGTGGAAGCTGGGCTGTCTGTTGCCTAGAGGAGGGGTTTAGACGAGTCTGCCTTTGTTTGGATTCAACAATGGCAATCAACATCATTCGCAACAAGCATGATACTGACCATAGACATGGAATCCTAACCCTAGAGATTAATCGTTTGCTTTTCATTGACTAGGAAGTTTCAATTTCCCACACCTATATAGAGTGCAATTTTGCTGCCGACTTTCTGGCCAATAAAGGATATGATATGCAATTTGACACACATAATATCGACTTGAATGATCCAGAACTTCGCTACGGGTTAATGTATAATGTAATGAGGTTATCCCAAGAACGTTCAGTTTTTACTTGGTGCTTAGACACCATTGCCTATTTTGTTACAAAAAAAGTAAACTCTTTTGTAACGTTGGTAAAACGAGTGATCGTTACAGACAATCCATTTTCTTCTCTCGTTTAGCGAGAGCGGCATTGCGGCGGAACCCTAGGGTTTTCAGAATAATATTAGGTTTTGGTGTTCGAGAGGAAAAAGGATTGCGAGTCTATAGTCTGTGGATTCATATATAGAGGATACAGAGTTTGTCAAAACACGAGGTATGCTATAGGGTTTACAATCTTTCGTAAGAAAGTTTTCCTGTGACAGATTTTGAGAAGAAGGGGTTGGCTTGGCTACATAAGAGAGCGTTGAAAAGGGAGACTCGCTGACTTCCCCTGAGACTGGAGACCAACCACCTAGTTCAGAGGGAGATTTGCTCGAGCAGCTGGATAAGTTCAATATTGAGGACGAGGATGAAGAGCCGTTATTGGTGGAAGATTCTGACGTTGATGTGATAAGAATGGAAGCTGTACGCCGTTTGGGGTTGATTGGAAGGCTGGTAGCTCACAAACAACCAAACATCAAATCATTGAAGATTGCGTTAGCAAAAGCTTGGAATACAAGAAAGGGTTTTCAAGTAACTGACCTGGGAGACAAGCTCTTCGCTTTTCAGTTCCTGGACATGGATGATCGTAACAAGGCTTGCTATGGAGGGCCATGGCATCATGAGAATAACATCATGGTTTTTGCATCAAGCTATTTGATTAAGAAATCAGTGCCGAAAGACCTGCATATGATAGATCTATGGATTCAGATTAAAGGTTTTCCAGCCGAGTTGAGAACTCCAAAAATGGTGGAGAAAATTACAGCACGTTTTGGTACGCTGGTGTGGTTTGATGATAGTACAGAGACAATGTGGGATGATTATCTCCGCATTAGGGTTAATCTCTCAATCAACAACCCACTCAAGAAGAAGCTGAAATTAAATATCGGTGGAGAGCTGGTGGAATATGTGGTTAAATATGAAAAACTTCCTATATTCTGCCAATCATATGGCAGAATTGGTCATCCCAAGCTAAGATGTCCCAGGTCATCGAATCTTAATGTGGATCCGTTTGGAATGGAGATGAGAATAGGGGTCCCATGACCTAGGAATTGGAGGTCGTATACTGCTAAAATGGAGGACGCTGAAATATGGGCAATTCTTAAGAAGAAGTTTGATATGGAAAGCGTAGGGTCAAATTCTGAAAACGAGCCCCTCTAGTAGGTGGGAAGATGGAAGACAATATAATGCAAGCAGACTCGAGAGGTGAAAGGAAGGCAATGGAAGTGGAGCCATCAAAGGCCACACCTGATCTAGTTTCGTAAGGCAACAAAAGTAAGACAGTGGTGGAACAAAATGATAAGAGCACTCAAGCCAAGGAAGTAATTGCTGAGGGAGGCAATTTGGCGACGGGGGCACTAAAAAAATTCACAATGGGCAGTGGAGTAGGGCTGATAACAAGAAGACCTGCAGGTAATGTGTGGCGCAGGCAAGAGCAAAAGAAAGCATGGATTCCAGTAGGAACCCAGGTTACACCACAGAAGAGAAGTAAAGATATGCAGAGTGGGGACATGGAGATAAAGGTGGAGGCAACAGTACAACAAAAAAAGGTTAAAGTACTGGACTTCACATGTTTACACAGTGAGAAGCAACAAGGGAATCAACAAGCATTGGATGGCGAACAGGCGGACTCTGTCAAGGGACAGAGCCGCCCAACTCAATGAATGCTGTAAGCTATAATTGTCGAGGGTTGGGGAATCCCTCGGAAATTAAGAAGGTGTATTTTTTGTTACAAAGACAAAATCCTCAAATAGTCTTCTTAATGGAGACGAAAAGAATGAATCGCGAGTGGAGGGAAACTATGGGGAAGTTGGGATGGACATATGGATTTGGAGTGGGATCGAGAGGGAGAGCAGGTGATCTGATGGTTCTTTGGCAACCAAAAGTGCACCTGGAAATTAAAGGATACTCTGACAATAATCATATCGACATGAGAGTGCTGGATGATGGGCGGGAATGGAGGCTAACGGGCATATATGGCTGGCCAGAACAGGGAAATAAACATCGAACATGGAATCTACTTACACAACTGAGGGATTTAGTGGACCTGCCTTTGTTGGTAACAAGGGACTTCAACCTGGTCCAATGCTATGCAGAGAAGAATGGGAAATATGAAGCTGATGAAAAGGAAATGGAGGGCTTTAACAGAGCATTGGAGGAGTGCAACCTAGAGGATTTGGGCTTCTATGATAGGAGATTCACGTAGGATAATATATAATCATAAAGACGATACTTTCTTGGAAGCAAGGTTAGATAGGATGGTGGCTACTAATAATTGGATGAACCTTTACCCGGAGGCTCGAGTGTACCACTTGAATCGTTGTGGCTCTGATCACAACCCATTATTCTTACTGACGCAGCTAAGTGAGCCTGAGATTTAGTGGGGATCATCATTCAGATATGAAGCCTACTAGCAAAATCACCACGAGGAGTGGAAGAAAGCAAGAAATGGATCAATCATGGACAGAATTAAAGCATGTGAGTCTACCTTATTGAGTTGGAGTAAAGCGACATTTGGAAGCCTGCGATATAGGTGAAAGTAAATTGAGAAGGTATTGGGACGAATTAGTAAGATGCAAATGAATCAGGCTCTAATCCAGCAGAGGGATGCCCTAGAGAAACTGGACGAGATATTGGAACAAGAAGAATTGAAGTGGAAACAATGATCAAGAACAGAATGGTTAAAAGAGGGAGATAAGAATACGAAGTACTTTCATCATCGAGCATCAAAGAGAAGGAAGAGAAACACGATTAGACGATTAAAAGATGGGAATGAGGTAGTTTTTGAAGGCCAGGAGAGGGTTTTTGCCTGCTTGGTTTCTTTCTACAAGCAGTTATATTTTGCTGGTGCTAGAGTGCCTAGTAACCAAATCATTGACTCAGTACCAAGGAAGGTGACATAAGAAATGAATCAGACACTAATGCTACCTTTAACACGGGAGGATATATGGGCAGCTTTGAAACAAATGAGGCCACTGAAGGCGCCAGGAGTGGATGGTATGACAAAGGAGCTACAAGGATACTTGGAGACAGGGAGCTTTCTAGAGGAACTAAATCAAACACTAATCACCTTGATACCAAAGAAAAAGTCTCCAACAAACCATTATGACTTCCGACCTATTAGTTTGTGCAGGGTTCTTTATAAAACTCTTTCGAAGGTTTTGGCAAATAGATTGAAGGTGATTTTACCGGAGATCATTGTGCCTAACCAAAGTGTTTGTGTCCGTGAGAGACTAATAATGGATAACATTCTGGTTGCTTTTGAGTGTTTTCACACTATGCAACAGAAGAAGAAAGGGAAGAGTGGATTGATGGTAGCAAAACTCGACATTACAAAAGCATATGATAGAGTGGAATGAGACCTTTTGGATGCAATAATGAGGAAGCTGGGGTTCAATGATCAATGGATTCATTTGATAATGACATGTGTATCTACAATTTATTTTAGCATCCTAGTGAATGGCCATAAAACAGATTGATTCAAACCCACTAGAGGGCTGAGAAAAGGAAACCCAATCTCTCTATATCTCTTCCTTCTTGTGGCAGAGGGTTTGTCTGGACTAATTACGAAGACAGAGGAGGAAGGGAAAGTCACAGGGATAAAAGTGAAGAGGGGAGCCCCTACAATATCCCACCATCTGTTTGAAGACGACAATATCCTTTTCACCAAAGCAACCAGACAAGAGAGCGAGCAACTGAAAAGCATTTTGAGTCTCTACGAGAAAGAGTCAGGACAACAGGTTAATTTGGTTAAATCGGAACTGTCTTTCAGTCTTAATATATCAAGGTGGAAAGAAGAGAAGACTTGGTTGGGATATTAGGCATGAAAAGCGTGCTTTTTCATAAGAAATACCTAGGTCTCCCCCACGAAAGTGGGTAGGAGAAAGAAAGCTGTCTTCGGATACCTCGTGAACAGGGTGCATAATAAGGTTTATGAATGAACCTAATTCCCTTGATGCTCGTGTTATGAAAGCGAAGTATTACCCCAATAGTAGGGGTGGGCATTCGGTCGGTTCGGTTCAAACCGAACCGAAATGATATATGCCGATTTTCCGAAGCTTCCCACACCCCAACCGAATTCGAACCAAAATATATTTCGGTTCGGTTTGGTCGAACCGAAATATATCTCGGTTCGGCTCGGTTTTTTGCCATAAACCGAAAACTTCCCACACATATATTCTGCCCCACTTCCCCCTCTCTCTTTCTCCACCCAGCAAACAAAGCCTCACTCTCTCTCTCATTCTTCTTCTTTTCTTTTTTTTACAGATCTCTCTCTCTCCCCCCAACAAACAAAGCATCACTCTCTCTCTCTCATTCTTCTTCTTCTTCTTTACAGGAGATCTCTCTCCCCCAATTTCTTCCTAACCTCTGACCCTCTCAATGTCCACCTTCCTTTACTTCCCCATCCCACCACTGCCACGAAACCACAACCCCATTTTCGCCCATCTCCATCTCCAACCAGTAGATCAAAAGAAACTCAGTCGCACTGTCGCAAATCTCCCTCTATGCTTCCTGATTTGATATAAGGTAAGTCATTTTTGGATTGCATGTCAGTTTTAGGGATCTGATTTTGACTTAGGAGATGTTCAGGAATCTTACCCATCACTTGTTTTTTATTTTGAATCCTTTTGAGATTCTGACCTTTGTTTTATTCTGAGGAGAAAGAGGGTTGTGGCGATGCCGATCTGCTTAGAAGAGGACTACAGGTGGTGACGTGGTGTGGAGTTGGAGACGGACGTGCGGGCGACGGGATCCGAGAAGCAAAACAAGAGAGGAAGAAGTAAGAAGAGCGACAGATCGAGATTTGAATCATCTCAAATCTGATGTCCAAGGCCAAGGGGGAAGAAGACTGTTTTTTATTTATTATTTATTTTCCTTTTCCTAGGGTTATTTGGTAGATCTGGAAGAAGGGGAGATAGAGAGAACGAGAGGGCTAGATCGAGTATTTTTTATGCGGGTGGGCTGGACTTGGGAAGTATTTTTATTGGGCTGTGGGAGACTCAGAATGGGCTTGGGAACACAGGCCATTGGACTAATTTGTTTAAATTCGGAAACTCGGTTCGGAATTCGGAAACTCGGTTCGGTTGAGATGGGTCTGGTTTCCGAATTATGGTTATTTCCCTTCCGAATTCCGAACTGAATAAGACTACTTCGGTTTCGGTTCGGTTTAAACTCGGTTCGGTCCGGTTCGGTTTGGGTTTACCGAACCGGATGCCCACCCCTACCCAATAGGGATATTCTGGAGGCAGATAGAGGATGGAGTTCGAGCTTTGTGTGGAAAGGGTTAGTGGAAGCAAAAGAGTTGATTAAGAAGGGTTTTCGATGGAGAGTTGAGAATGGAAACAACATTAATATTTGGCAAGACCGTTGGCTTCCTAATGGTGAAGTACGTCAACATTTTCGCTTGCAGATGGAGCAGGATTTCAGAGGATACCAGAAAAAAGGATTAGAGATTCAAATAGGTGCGATGGTTAAACAGGAGACGAAAATGTCACTAGGGGAAGCGCATACGAGTGGAATACTTAAGGTGCATTCCCCAGTATCAATGGTGGGCAACACTACTTCGCTAGCAGAGCTGGTGGACCTGGAAAGTAGAAGTTGGAGGCAGAACCTGTTGCATACGTACTTTTGCCTAGAGGATTGAAAACAAATTCAAAAGATTCCGATTCCCCGTCAAACATGTGCGGATGAAAGGGTATGGAGTCTAGAAACTACAGGGGATTACTCAGTGAAATCTGGGTACATGGCTATGGAAGAACAAGGATGGGGAGGAACTAGGAAAACTTTATACACCAGTTAATTAGGATCGTTTATGGAAGTTGAACATACCCCCGAAGGTTAGGCTATTTGATTGGAGATGGATCAGAGATATCCTACCGACGAAAAATTGAATTTTAGATAGAACACAACAAGGAACTGGTGGGTGCCCTTTCTGTGACTTGCCAGAAACCCAAAATCAAATCTTCCAGGACTGTGCGTGAGCACGGAGATTGACCAGGCCTACTCACATACATATATTGTTCGAGAAGGAAGAGGAAATTACCTGCGAGGAGTGGTTTTGCAGTTTGTAGGAGACGGAGGATGACGAGCAGCTGGGGAAATTTCTCGTCTCACTCTGGTTTATCTGGGAACAACGAAACAGCCAGGTGTGGAATATCGAAAATTGGAAGAATGAGAGATTATCCCCAAAGCGATGGATTGGTTGAGTGAGTACCTGGAGTTGCAGGAGGGCAAGGATGAGCCGGATCAAAGAAATGAAGAGTGGAAACCGTCCCAATCGACGGACTTCACAATATCTGTGGACACATGCTATTTTCTAGAACAAGGAACGAGAATGAGGGTGATAATTCGAAGGAAATACGAGTGGTTTGTGGCGGCGGCGATAAGAATAACCCGGCGACAGTGGGAGGTAGCAGAGGCGGGAGCCATGGCGGTGCTTTTTGGGTTGGAGATGGCTCATCGCCTTCAGCTGCAGTCCATTGCCATTCAATATGATTGCCAGCGGGTGGCGAGGCTGATAGAGGGCCATGTGGACTCATTTCTAGAAGTGGGATAGATTGTGAAGGATATAAGAGAGATGAGCTGGGGTTTCAATAGGGTGGAGTGGGCTTACATTAGAAGAGCCCGCAAACATTCAACCCATTATATGGCTCACATAGCTTGCAATTGGGAGGAGGATGATGTTGGGTGTGAATAGGCCACCAGTTTTGTTGGTTCCTCTTCTTAGGGAAGAGTCCTTATGTATTATGTTTAAACATTTCTCATTAATAATATAAGCGTGAAGTATTTCTTAAAAAAAAAAAAAAACGAGTGATCGGTGAGGAAAAAAGCATGTTGGTTACGCTAAGCATAATTCGGCCCAGGCCTGCACTGCATACGCGATTAGCAAATGTTCTTAATTCGGCCCAGGCTTAGTAGCAGGCCCATTGTAAACTATATAAAGTTACAAACGTAGATGGCTCACCATTACTGGCGGAGGCAGAGGTCACATATTCTACAGCAGAACGAAGCAGCGCGAGGGACGGCGATAGACAAGGAAGAATCGTCGGAGCGAGCGAATTAAGAAGATGATAATTCCAGTCCGTTGTTTCACTTGCGGCAAGGTTTCGATGCTACTGCCTTCTCCTGAATGATATGGATATTGTGCATTCGTTGCTTTCGGTTTTGTGTTCCTAGCCAATCCCTTTGCCATGACTCCGTTTGATTTGAGTAATCTAGGGTTTCTGAAGTAATGTTTCAGTAGAATATAGTTCAGTTGGGCAGTCGGACTGCAACGATAAAAAAATGATGTTTGCTTCCCTTGCTGTGGTGTTCGTGTAATGCTCTGAATATTGGGTTGTGTTGATTTTTCAGTTTTGATGCTGTTTGTGTTTTTTCTAGGTAATTGGGCACAAATGGGACACTTACCTTGATCTTCTTCAAGCTGATTACACTGAAGGGTAAAGTACTTTCCTCTCAAACGACTTCTCCCCCCATTCTCCGAGGGTGTAGATGTTTGTTCACAAGTATTGGAGCTATAGATTCAAAGTAAACATGCATAGTATACAACAAGCATAATCTACACAGCCAATGACATATTCTTCATTGTTTTTGTTCTGTTTCTATACCCGGTACAGCTGCACAACTGACCTGCCTTTGCTGCTTGTAATTCTGTACACTTGTTTGGTTCATGTGAATCGTCAATATTTCTTGTCACCTTCATTTGTTCCCTTGGACGGTGGAGTCTTGTGGGTAGTTCTCTGCGTCTTGTAAGTTGCTGCTTAGCAATCGGATGCTGCATATTTGTATTCATATGTTTGTGGTCTCTACTGAGGTGTTTTGAGTTTTAGCAATTTGAGTATCTGTATGTTGCCCTGCAATATGCTTGTTTTGCCTTAGTTCTGTGTCTCTTTCTTTTTCTGGCATCACATTTTTTTTATATAGAATTTTCTGGCATCACATTTGAATCAGTATGAACACTGCTATCTTCCTAATCTGTGCTTCCATGTTGGTTAAGATAAACTCTTGCCGGAATCATGATGAAGCCCTGTTGTAACATTTTTGTTATTTGCATTACAGGGATGCACTTGATGCATTGGGGTTGGTCCGTTATTGTTGCAGACGAATGCTCATGACCCATGTTGACCTCATTGAGAAGCTTCTGAACTACAATAGTAACTCCCTCTAACTAATGCATGGGTGCTTGCTTTTGTTTGCATATTACTCACTACTCTAACTAGTGGCACTGATAGAATGTGCTAGCACATGCATATTGTAACATTAGTCCTAAAAGTAGCGTCAATTCATCTGGTTTATGGTCGAGCCAAGTCGTATATTCTTATCCGGGATACAAAATTCGTAACATCTGGGAGTAGCTCTGTTTACTTGGTAATCGACTGGTTTAACCCTGCCATATGTATGCTAAAACAGATTGGCAGACGCTCCAAATAATACTTAAGTTTGGAGCATGTTTACTTGGTAATCGACTGGTTGCTAAAACAGATTGGCAGACACTCCAAATAATACTTAAGTTTGGAGCATTATGGCAAGTAAAAAGGTCCCAAAATTTCGTGTGAATCCATGCCATCTGGGAACTAGATGATTATTGTCTGGTTTAAACCTGCTGTGGGTTGAATATCACTAACACTCCAATTAATGTGTAGCATCGAATCATTATTCATCACGTAACCGGGTTTCTGTTTTGTTTTTGTGTAAAATGGCGACTATTTTCAACTTTTATGCCTCTTCTTTCCACCTGACGATTTACCCTTCGTTGCTGCAGCTCTGGAGAAAAGCGAGGGCACTTAAAGTCGGAACATTGAGGGGGAGTTCAATGGAGGTACATGAGCAGTTTTGCAACAGCGTAGAAGTTAGAAGGCTAAAATGAATGGACGATGGTGGAGACATGAGCATTTGGTGAAGTGTGTTTGTGAATTGGGGTCGCCTGTGTTTGTGAATGGACTAAAATCTGTCAGTTAATGTTGAGATGATTGTATCATGAAGACTGATATGCTTCAAATCTAGCAGGGTTGCCTAATATGTCGAACTGGTATGCCTTTGCGGCTTTGCCTAGCTAGCCTACTAAGGGAGGTGACGTTTACTCGACTGCCGACGTTTACAACCTAACTTCTCGAAACGTCGCCGTTAGTTGCCGATCTCTGATCTACTAGACTACTACCGAACCCGGCCACCAGCTGTTATTGACCCTGAATCTGAAAGGGAAAGCAAAAACAACAACCCATTGCGTTGCCACGAGTCTCTCTCTGGCTGAGCGGTGGCCCGACACGACCCAGTTTTGGATTTGTAGATCCGAATCCCCAGAGACTATTGCAAGCAATCAATCTTCTGTAACTTCCTCATATCATATAATCACCCCTATTTCCCGCATCTATCTCTCTCTAGAAAGCTCGTTTCTTTTTCTTTCTTCAACGGCAACTGAACACAGAAGAACCCTAGTCAACAACAACCGACGCTGAACTCTTCCAGTCAAACTCGCTAAACGCCTCTCTCTTTCTTACTATCCTTCCTGAACGGTTCGCTATCGCTACCCAATTGGGTTTTCCGCCGCTCGCAATTGTTGTCGTGACGAAACAGTAGAACGAAGTAAAAAGGAGGAGTTTTTCCCCCCCACGGGTTTGGGGTTATAGGAGATTTGGTTTGGGTGGTGAACAGAGATATGAAGAAGATGGAGGGGACGAAAGGGTATGCTGTTAATGGTGGGGAAAAAAGCAATGGGAGCTCTAGCAATGGTATTCGTAGGCTGCCTGCTCCCAGCCTCCCTCCACCTCCGCCGACGTCGTACCGGCAGTGTTTCGCCAATGCTGGTGTGCCTGTGTCTTGTAAGCGGACTCTGGTTCGCCATCCGTCTCTTGTAAGTTCCTCCCGCTCCCGCTTCTTGGCCTCTTTTTTTTCTGTAGTGAACTGAGGTCGAGTTTGGCCCATGGTTAGTGTTGCTTTATTTACTGGGTTGTCATTCAAATCAAATTGGGTGGTTTTTGTGGGTCTTGAATCTTGGTGTTGGTATGCTAGTGTTTCCCTGTAAAGCTTGTAAGTTGTAACTTTTAGTCTCACTTGGATTGGCAATTGAAGGTGTAAGCTTTTCCAACTTAGGGGTTTCGGCGATGAAGTAGAGTTTGTTTCTGGTACTTGTTTTGTTACCTTTAATTTGTCCTTTATGAAGATTGAAAGGGTTACGAGTAATCAAGCTGTGGCATGGGTAGAGGTGGGATTTGAGGTTGTGTTCCCTGCTTCTCTGATCAATTTGTGTTAAGATTGTTGAGATCACGAGTTCGGACTTGCTACCGTGAACTCCTGCTTTGCCTTGCATTTTTACTGGGGAGCATTTGTCACTTTGATGGTTGATTTAAAGCTTTTTGCTATCACACTCTGAGTGAAATGTCTCTCACACACACCCACTTTTCAGTATGTTCGTATGTGTGTGAAATAAAGCCATTTACATGTTTAGCTCAGTTTTGTCGGTGTTGCAATTTCTTCTACCTAGTATTCTTTGTGCATTTCATTTGGGATTCTTACTAGTATATTTATGCAGGTGAAGACATCTGCCTTTGAAATCTCTTTGCAATCTGAAGTGAGTATAAGGACTCACGGTCCTGATTACATCCCCATTGTCCGATCAGGAGCCTTTTCGGATATTGGCTTTCGCCCCAGAATGGAGGATGTCTATACTTGTATTGATGATTTCACAATTGATTATGGTCTCGGACATGATACTGATGGGCCTAATGCCTTGTATGGGGTACTTCTCTTTGGTCTTTCAATTGTGATCTCCCCCTCCTTTTGGTGAATGCTTAGGTTCTGGATAATTTAATCACCAAATGTTCATTAGGTTTATGGTATTGTAGCATTTGTCAGTCTTCTCGTGTCAAAATTGATGAATACAGGATAGACTGTTATGTTTTAGCTTGGTTTGTATGATTGTGGCAAATATTAAGACTTCAGGCTTTTTATGTCGGTTTTTCTTCTTGCCTCGGTGTCAAAAGAAATGATATGTTTTCATCATTGATCCTTGTGCAGTATTGTTTCCGGTCTTCACTGATGATTATTCTGCAAATATTGGACAGCCATTAGAATGTTGTGCCTAACTTTTGATGTTTATGACACGACGACCAGGTGTTTGATGGTCATGGAGGGAAACATGCTGCAGATTTTGCATGCCACCATTTGCCGAGATTCATAATTGAGGATGAAGACTTTCCAAGAGATCTAGAAAGGGTCATTGCATCTGCTTTTCAGCAGACTGATAGTGCCTTTGCAGAGGCATGCTTGCTTGATGCTGGTCTTGCTTCTGGCACTACTGCATTGGTTGCTCTTGTTATGGGAAGGTTAGCAGATGTTTTTATCTCGCAACTATATATGCAGTTGATGACTCAAGTCTGCGGATGGTTTGGTGATTTATCATTTAAGTATCTACAAGAATGAAGCACCTCTTTGAAATTTACATGACTTTTTTGGAGACTCCTTTTGCAACTTGTACTTATATATGCAGGGCTTTGATATATCATGCCCTTGTAGTGCATCACACACCTTGGTTCATAACGGTCCTTTAGTGTTTGAAGGGGCTCTAGAATGTCGCGACCACAGAAGTAGAATGCTGTGTTGAAGTCAACAAGTTCAATGACTTGGCCCTTTACTGTCTGTCAATACTAAATGCTATTTAAGTAGACTTTGTTTTTTGAGATCCTTATGCTTATTATGCCATATCTTTGCAGGGTAATAGGGTTCTTTCATATATCAATATCAGAGTTGTTTGTTTTGTTGTTTGGTTTCTTGATTTTCAGTCTGTGATGGCAGGTTATTGGTGGTGGCAAATGCTGGAGACTGCCGGGCAGTGCTTTCTCGGCGTGGCAAAGCAGTTGAGATGTCTCGGGATCACAAGCCAGGTTGCGCCAGAGAACAAAAACGCATAGAGGCATCTGGCGGATCTGTTTATGACGGCTACCTAAATGGACAGCTCAATGTTGCTCGGGCAATAGGAGATTGGCACATGGAAGGGCTGAAAGCCCAGGAAGGCGGCCCGCTTAGTGCCGAGCCTGAGCTAATAACCACAGACCTGACAGAAGACGATGAATTCCTCATCATAGGATGTGATGGAATATGGGACGTGTTCAGGAGCCAAAATGCAGTAGACTTCGCCAGGCGGAGGCTTCTGGAGCACAATGATCCCGTCTTGTGCAGCAAAGATCTGGTTGATGAAGCCCTAAAGAGGAAGAGTGGAGACAATCTATCTGCAGTTGTTGTTTGCTTTCAGTCTGGGCCTCCCCCGAACTTGGTTGCCCCACGGTCTAGGGTGCAGAGGAGCTTCTCTGCCGAGGGCTTGAGGGAGCTGCAGAGTTTCTTGGATGACTTGGCTAGTTGAGACGGTGGTCATGGCTACTGGTTCCCGCGATTCCAATTTTCCCAGAAGAGTCCACTAATTTGAATTTATTAGGCGTAGTTCTAGATATTGATGAGTCACTCCCAACTGTAACATATGCGGCTGCAAGAAGATGGTAATTTGCTTCATAATATGTTCCCTCTCATTGAAGTTGGTCAGACAAATGCCTTAATGTTGGGACCGTTTATTCCTTGGTTCTCAAGCAACCCCAAATAAGGAGAATGGTGCCTAGGACTTTTAAGTTTGGTGGTCTGCGCAGCGGCATTAGGATTTGAAGTCTTAGCATCTGTACCATTACTTTTGACTTTTTCCAGCATCGTTTAACTTGTTCAGTAAGGAAGTTAGTTTAATGTTTGGTATCATGGTGTAAAGTTCCTTTATATTTAACAGTCATTCATACTATATGACGATTTCAAGAGATCAAGTTGCTATATTTCTGTTTGGATGCAACCTTTTTCAGTTCAAGGGCACTTCAGATGAGATCTTGATTGACATGTTTTTTTGGTAAAATTGCAGTTGAATAACAGAACAAGCAAAAAGGAGAAGGGAGATCGAAGTGTAGGTAATTACTAATTTTGCATTATGTTACTTCAAAGTATAGGTAGCTGCTTACAGTATACAGATATTTGGAAACTTGTCTCATCTCTTCTGGAAATTAAAGGCCTTGATGGAGACTGCGAACATGAAGCCAAAAAGGAATGAAATTCCCACAAGAACTATGGCAACTACCCCAACGAAATCATGTCTAAAGCCGAAGTAGTCTCGGAGGAACTCCTCCACGGTTTCGTCGCTACCATCAAAGGTCTCTGCAATGTCACCATATTGTGAAGCCACAAGTCCGTACAATGTCCAAGCCATTGGGCACGCCCAATAGTACCATCTCCACCAGATTGGTATCCTCTGCATGTTAACTTCAGTCAGTTGGAAACAACTTAAAGCAGTAGAAAGGGTTGATGAGCTAGTGAGAAGGTGGCTTACCGGGCGAGGCACGATAAAGCCTGAGAACAGGTTCCAAAATCCAAAAAAGGCAGTTGAAACTATGGCAGCAATGTGGTGGTTTGGAGTGATGCCAACCGTCATCATCCCATAGAGAGTGAAGTACATCAATGTGAAGTACATGTAGAATATGTACCAGAAGAACTTGGCTGCCGTCCACTCGAAACCGATCATGGCGTATACTATGACTCCATAGATGAGGGTTTGGATTAGATTGTATGGAATTTCAATCACCACCTGTCCAAAGGCGTAAGGCAATGCAGAGTACATCCCAGCTGCTCTTTCTCTATAGAAAACTGTTCTCTCTATGGATACGACTGGTTGCACTGCTGTATTGTTCTGGAATCCCATGAACAGAATTGCTGCATACATGGAACCCATTGAGTTCAGGATGTCCTGAGGCTTTCCTCTGCAAAATAAAAATCAAAATCAAAGGGAAGTTTCATTATTTACATATGCCGGAGATGGGGGAAAATCAGATTGAAGAGAGGAGGTTGCATTTTTTACTTCATTTTATCACATACCTTTTAGAGCCTAGATTCCAGAATATTGTCCCAAACATGAGAGCTATGAATGTTGTGAAGAGGAATCTCACAGCATTATAAGGCGGGTTTCGCCAGTAAGACCAGTGTTGCTTCTTCAGGCAAGCCATGCATTGGGTAAAGAATGTTTGAGCGTATTGCCTCTGGAAGAAGATATCTTTGGAACCGGGTAGTGGTGAACTTAGCTCCTTGATCAATTCCTTGTTCCTCCTATATAATTCCGAGTTCTTATATATGTCCGTGAAGTTGATCCCAAGAGCATCTTCTTGACCTGCAGTAGTTACCTCTAACATCCACGTTGCTGGATTGTATCCATCTTTTATCTTTGAAACTCCATCCACTGCCTCAAAGTACTTGATGAGATAGCATGCATGGCGGCCAATTGGACCGACATAGATTTCCTCCCCTCCTCTCTTTAGTAGGAGTAACTGCGAGCAATTCGGATAAGTAAGAAAAACTTGGTAGGTTATGATGAAAGCTAGATAATGCTTAATGCATAATCCTTACCTCATCGAAAGCATCGAATATGTCAATGCTAGGCTGATGAATGGTGCAGACTACGGTTCTCCCAGTATCAACTGTGTTCCTCACGGTTCGCATTACAATGGCGGCTGCTCTTGCATCGAGCCCAGAAGTTGGTTCATCCATAAAGATTATGGAAGGATTGGCCACTAGTTCAACTGCAATGGTTAGCCTCTTCCTCTGCTCAGTTGATAAACCATTCACTCCGGGCAACCCCACAAGTGCATCTCTCAGTGGAGTCAGCTCTACTAGCTCCATCACTTCCTCAACAAACATCTGCAGAATGACAGAAATATTTTCAATGTCTTGGAAACTTGGAGAACTTTTATCCAAAAAGTAAAAAAAAAAAATCAGTGTGGTGACCTTTCGTGTATCGGAGTTTGATTGTGGAGAAAGCCTGAGCCATGCGGAGAAGATCAACGACTCATACACTGTAACATTAGGGGAATGGATATCTGTCTGCTCACAATAACCTGCAATTCTAGCGAAAGTTTCTTGCTTTTTCGGGTACCCTGAAATCTTAATCCTTCCTTCAATATATCCACCGGTTTTCCTTCCAGCAAGAACATCCATTAGAGTAGTTTTCCCAGCTCCACTGACTCCCATTAGTGCGGTGAGGACTCCTGGCCTAAAAGCTCCACTGACCCCCTTGAGAAGCTCCAGACGATCCTCCAGGATCCCCTGACCTGTCATCTCCTGTGGCATGTCTACGGAATACCTGATGTCTTCGAAGGTGATGGAAAGTGGAAGGAATGGAAGAACCAATCCTCTTCTCTTGTGTTGATTTAAGTTGCCAACTCTTGGTGATGGGGTTCTGGATGAAATACTTCTCCCGCTTTCGTCGTTACCTCTTTCTGGCAGGTCTATATTAGTTGTATGTGAAGTTGTGTTCTCTTCCGATTCTTCCTTTAGTATGATCGTCTGTGGCTTGTCAAATGCTGCAACAACAACAACATGAACACCAGAAAAAAATCAGGGGGGTAGTAGATGTGGCAAATGGGTTCTGTTGGTGGGTTGTGGGGATATAAATGCTCACGGTATAGATACTTGAGAGCAAAAATGAAGAAGAGATTGAAGAGAAGCAAGGATCCAGTCAGTGCTCCAACTCCAATCCAATACCAGTATGCATAGGGGAAATATCCACGAGACTTGAGGATCTGGACCCCAAGCGAGTCAGTTGAGTTGGGAGGCACATGACTCCAACTGTGGCCGAGAAATTCGTTGACAGTGAGACCATTTTGCACATACATCAATGGCGAGATCCAGTAACCCCAGATCCACCATATCTTCACATTTACTGAAATAAAATAACAATGTCAACACTGGTTCAGCTTGAAGAAGATTCAACACAAATGTGTGACTTTTACATACCTCTTGAGATGATGAAGCCACCCAACACTAAGAGGGTAATCATAACGAATGACCCGACTGTATTAGCAACGATCATGTTCCTTCCTACTGCTCCTACGAGTCGAAACAACCCGGAAGCCATCTGGTTTGCGAGAACGAATAACAGGTACTGCTTCACAAACCTGCCATAAGTATTTCTCTATAATTTCATCAACTTGTATGTGCAAGGTAGTCAAAATATAGACTCTGCAGAGAATTCACATATTTACGAGAATGAATAACAGGTACTGCTTCTACTACAAGATTCGTTAGTGACTTTGATTTACCTTCCAATGTTTGGATCAAAGCCAATTGGATAGTAAGTGAGGATGACCCATATTGCGCCCTCTACAAACGTGATGGGGATCTTGAGCACCCAAGTAGGAAGAGCATATGCCCATGCAGGGAAGAAGAGAAGGTCTCTTTGTTTGTAGAACACCGGAAGCTTATGGATAGTCATTGCCAGCTCTGAGAGCCCATTGAAAATCATGACAAACATGCCAAAGAAGATAGCTCCCATGTAAGTCGCTCCATCATTCAACGTCTCGTGATGCATGTTCGTCCTCAAGAACACTGTCGTGGTCAAGAAAGCCACAATCACAAGCTGAGTCATCTTGAAAGCGTAGATAAACGAGTTCCTCTTCATGAGCAAATACTCCCTCGCGATGCAAGCTTTCAGAAGTTCCTTCTTGTTGACACCGAATTTCTTGGTCGTTAGTGCAGCAGGATGGCTTTTCAACTTGTCGAATGGAGTTGCCAGATCATCTCCTTGCTTCCTACCAATGTGGAATGACTGAAATGCTTCTGCAAATTCCATCGAAGCGATGAAGTTGTAAGGCTCATCTCTTCTCACCCAGTACTGCTCCTGATCCTTTCTTGATGTTACTTCCTGCAAGAAATCTGCTACTCCTTTCCTCTCCGGGCATCTAAATCCCATGTGCTCGAAGAACTCAAGCACATTTTCTCGAGGGCCCTGGTAGGCAATGTAGCCGTCGGAGAGAAGAACAATATCATCAAAGAGATCATAGGTTTCTGGTGCAGGTTGCAAAAGAGAGATAAGAGCAGTTCCCTCGAGAATGTGGATGGATTGTCTTAGTGAATTGATGATTTGGAAGGTTGTTGAGCTGTCCAAACCAGTAGATATTTCATCCATGAATAGTGCTCTTGATGGTCCAACCATCATCTCCCCTGCATCATCAAGATCAAAGTACGAGGGTAAAAAGATTGGAGCTTGAGCATTAGTCTTTTTTAATAATGATGGTGTCAACCATTTTTACCAGTTGTAACTCGCTTCTTTTGCCCGCCTGAGATGCCTCGAATCATTTCGTCGCCTACCAGTGTATCAGCACAAACTTCAAGCCCTAAGATCTGTGGGGGGAAACAGAATGATTGTTAAACAAGATATAAACACTAAAGACACATTTTTTTTACCACGAAATTGGAATTATGTTTGTCATACATACCTTGAGAATGTAGTCAGTAACCACATTGACTTCTTGGCCTTCCAGTGCTGCCGCCTGCAAGATTCCACCAAGAACTCTAGCATGTTAGTTCACGACTACATTGAACTAATCAAATAGGTGCAATATTTCAATTTGGTTTTGATTTCTCACCTTCATGAAGAGATCAATGTCAGGATCTGGCTTAATTTTTGCTGTTTTCTCTCTTCTACATAGTTCAGTCAGAATGTCTGCAGGCATTAGCAAGTGGTTTTACAAAGCCATTAAGCTAGAACACTCCCAAACAACAACGACACTAGTTAGATTGCAGTAGAAGCATGTAACGAACTAACTAACGAACCATTTTGGGGTCCAACTCCTTGACATCTTGCAGAGAAAGCTAGGGTTTCTCTGACAGTCATTTCTCCAATATGAAGGTCATACTGACTGATGTAAGCTGAAGTTCTCTGGGGTACAAACTCATTCATTTCATGACCATTGTATGTAACTTTTCCTGAAAACTGCCCAAAGAAAGAAGAAGAAAAAAAGAGTTAATTCATCGCAAGGAAGGTTACAA